TTTTTTTTTGCGCTGGGGCTGCCCGGGGGTCGCCCTACCGGGCACCCGGGCATGTATCCGGGCACAAGTTGGGTGTCCAGGCGCCCGGAAAAACAACCTAAAATTTTACACAATTTTTTTTTTTTGAAAATTTTTACTTTCATTTTTTTTTTTTTTGCATTGGGACTACAAGGAAGTCATGCCCGACCGGGCACCCGAGCGTGTATCTAAGCACAAGCTGGCTGGTCGGGCGCCCGAAAAAACAACCTAGGTTTGTCAATTATTATGAAAATATTACTTTTTTATTTTTTTTTATTTTTTACTCGAGTTTGGTTTATAATTTAGGGATTGACTCATAAGAAGAAGTTATTTGTATCATATTTCTGCAAAACATATATTTATTATAGAAGTTTGTTTTTATTTTTTTTTCTGTTTTTTTTTTTTTCAATTAATTTCAATTTATTTAATTTTTCACTCGAGTCTGGTACAAAATTTTAAGATGAGTCTCAGACAAAAGTTGTTTGAAATATTATTTGGCATAACAAAGGTTTTCAATTTTTTAATTTTTTTTTACGTATTTCTACGTACGGAAGTACGGTTACGCGCGTATGTATCACGTACAAGAATACGTGTACATGCAACCCGTGTACACGTACGTCGTGTTACCCAGATTTATTTTATTAATAAGCATGTCAATGGTTCTATTGAGAGTCATAATCAACAACCTGTTATGTAATGTATCCATTTTCTTTGAATGTTTTGGATAACGAATGAACTTCATTGACAAATCTAAATTCAGTACATGCGCGGAAAGAAAAGCGTCGTATCTTTTATTTTTGCAAAAGTATTAAACTTACGTAGCACGGCGTATGTGTACATGGGTTGCGCTTACAAGTATACAAATATTCCTATAAGCATCAATTCCCGTAGGTGGGAATACGTAAAAAAATAAAATTGAAAATTTCGAAAAAACATGTACGTTATGCAAAATCAAGGTAATTAGCGTACGGGACCCTGTGGGGACGACTTCGGTTGTTCGGAACGAACTTCGAAAAAAAATCTAATAACAAAATATGTTATAAAGAAAATTAAAATAAGTAATATTTGACTAAGCATTACATTCTTTATCAACTATGAAATATAAATAAAATATGGTAAATAAATATAGATAATAAAATAACGAGAATTAAAATTAGTAAGCACGCGAGTACATGTTCGACACCAATTTTAAATTTGGTAAAGAATTTCGATGTAACCTTCAGGAAAAAAGTTGTTCAGTTTCGTTTTTTGCATAACATAATATTTTTCGTTGTTTTTTTTTTGGGGGGAGGGGGGGCGAACCTTCCCTGGTCCTTGCACGGCCGGGCCGCCCGGAAAAATAGGGTGACCCGGACGGCCCGACTAGTGGCCTAGCTAATTTCATGAAATGTGACTTTCAAAGTAAACAATTTTATTTTAGCATTTGTTTTGCTCACAACATCGGATCAGTAATGGTCTAATGTCATGGGCAAAACAAAATGTTAAAAAACATATTGTTTGGCCTCCCCACGACGGCGGACCATCAAAAGTCTAATGTCATGGGCAAAATAAAATGTTAAAAAACACTATTTTTATATATGTCTATTTTTTTTGAAATTATTAAAAAATATAATTTTAACTAAATGTTAGTTATCATGATTATGAACGCCATGGTCATCAATATCGTGTTTATTAGAGTCTCTATATACATTAACTCCAAAGTCTTGACATACTTTTTCTTATACATAGTCATAATATTTCGAAATTACGCAACGTAAAGTATGAAAGAGATGACTCTAAGTAAGTTATGTTATTGATCTTAATTATATGAAGTTATAATTTATTAACAACAATTTATTTTGTAATGTGCTGGGTTGCCGACGTTCGGGACGGGCCGAACGCCTGAACGTACGGGACCCCTTCGGAAGGCGTTCGGCTGTTCATGTCGAACGCGGCAAAAAAAAAAAACAACATTTTCAAAAAATTATGAAAACAAACAATGTTACGGAGAAAAATAAACAAAACAACATTCGTCAGGGCACTACATCCAAATTCCTTACCAAATGTGAATTAAAAATCCAATACAGAAAATAAACACTATGATAAAAATAAAAAAAATAAAAAAAGAATTAAAATGAGTGAGTGTGTCAGTTTACATAATCAATAACTCATTAATTTTTTTTTTTTAAATAATAAAAATTTTTAGACCCCGAAATAAAATGAAAACAAAAAGTTAAAAGTGAAAAAAAAAACAAAATAGTGAGTGGGCGAGCACATTTTGACACCCCCATCTTTGACGATTTTTAATGTTTTTTTGGCTTAGCAGAATGACTTCAAACTTTATAGACGTGTAGTATATATCATAGAGAACTCACAAAACACAATTCAGAAAAAAAAAACTTATTTTTAGGCCCCGAAAAGTTTTTTGGCGGGGGCCAAACCTGGAGGTGTTCGGCCCCCGAACGGGACCCCGAACGCCCGA